GGAAGAYCACTAGGTTCGAACCAGCGCTATGCATTGCCTAACCCTATATTTTCCCTAAACCTTACCGTTAAGCAATGAGTTCAATTCGCCTGATTAAACCTGAATATTTGTGGTATTTATATCTAATTGWCTTAATATATAGCACGTGTATGTACATACAATTGCAATACATAGTTAATGAAGCTGAGAGTCCTTTTCTGACATGTGTGACCATGCATTGATCGTTTTCACCCATTCCCATGGGATTCAAAAGATAAAAGACCGGCGGCCATGTTGGAGGAATGAACAATAGATACTAATTAATGAGAAATCCTTTGTTGAAGTTCATCCAATATGGCCGCTGTGACGTATAGTAAAAACGGAGAATATGTGCATCCGTATATGGATGTCGTACGCCAAATCCTACCTCATTTTTAAAAATTCCAGGATATTTTTCACAAGCAGAAACTGAATAATATCAAGACACGTACCATTGAAAAATCGTAAATAACTTTTTAGGGGGACTTTTTCAAGATCAACCGTATTTGTAGGCGAATAAAATAACCATTTTAAGAATAACTTTCAGGATCAGTTTTTAAAAACAAAACGGAGTTTTTTTATTGTAAGCATCTTCTACACAAACAGGTGTATAAGCTTGTAAGATTTTAGTGAAATTGAGAATTATCATGAATTGACATTGAAAACTCCCCATCGCGTTGTGGTGTCTGCAAGCTGTCATTAAATTTTAACTTCGTTAAACCTCTATTCGATTAAATTTTCTATAGCACCGAAATGACATAAAAAAAGGCARGCTTTCACAGACCTTTGCCACCTTACATCATACCCGTTCCAACTATCGTAAAAGAGGYATCTAAAATGACTTCCAAACGATCTTTGTTTGCTGTGCTTTTAGTTGCAGTCATTCTTTTTGGTTGCCAATTCTCTGTTTTAGCGGTTCGAAAAGGAGATGCCTTGCCAAGACAGCGAATTAGAGACGAGAAGGTAAGGTGTGGTTTCAAATGCAAAGCAGTAAATAGTCATCATGAATTCAGAATTCTTTAATGCTACCTCTTTTATTGGAAAATATTAAAATTATCAGTTATATATAAGTAATTTTAAATTAAGTGCCTGTAATTCTGTGCATTTATATTAATTCTGAGTGGGTCAGGAGTGCCGTACGGGAAACTATCGATCGATAGGTATCTTTTAAAACATCGTATGAACAAAAAGTGCCATGGTTTGTGTATACAACACAAACTTGTCGAACAGTTGCATTTCAGAATTCAGTTGCATTTCTCTTTGCTCTATAACTTGAACTTATGGTCGTTCTAAAAAAAATCATAAAAAAACAACAACAACAACAAAAAAACAAAAAGAATGAAAACAAACTCTTGTTCCATTGCATAAAATAATGGTTGTTCTATGTTCTATCCGGCGATCTTTCCAAAACAACAAAAAATCGATTACCGGACGTTTTTTTTTTTATCACTCCGTCAGGTTGCCCGACGTTTACACACTCCGAACAAAAAAAAAGGCAGATTATTAAAGAAAGCACCGGTGAAGAAGCTAAGAAATTGATTATCGCGCAGGCGTATAGAAATATTTCTTTTTAATTTAGGTTTTTATTCGGAGTTCGCTAGTGTTTTCTTTTTTTCGGAAGATTTTTAACTCGATATCCATATATCGTTTCCCAAGGTTTTCTAAGAAAGCAAACGGGGAAAAATCGTGTCATCTGATAAATAAATAGCAGATATATTTAGTAGTGGAAATACGGGTAAATTCTAATTGTTCGTTGTTMTATTCTGTTGCAGAGAAATCTTTGGAAGCTGCAGTTGCCTATCCGACGCGTATATGATACATGTACCGGATATCCGCAATGCTGCAGTAAGCGTGGTACTAAGAAAGGTGTCAACTGTGAAAGACTGCAAAAGGCTGGATGCCTCTGCTCATAGCTAAAAATCTATATGCAGAAAAAAGTGTAATTTTCATGAAAAAATTGAAGAGCATTTATTTCTAGTTAAGAATATTGTAAAAAAGGGCTAAATATTAATATATAAAGTTCAAACTATACACGAATGTTTTCGTTATTGTGTATTATTAAAACAATTCCCCAATCGCTCGTATAAAGCAATTATCACACCACGCTTTCAACTTGTCAAAACTCACTTAAAAAAAATAATAATTCCATTATCGAGTAGAAGAATCTATCTGAGAGTGAGTGGTCTGATCCAAAGCATAAGCGATGTTGGTGTGGTATGATCGTACAGGTGAGAAGTCTTTTTGAAAACTGATATTTTTACCCACTTGTGTAAATTTTAGCGCGCTGATTGGCTGATTAGAGTTTGTCGKAGAKGTTTAGCATGACGTTCACGGCAAAYKCCAAACGGCAGAAAASATCACGTGRCCTGCTTTTTTTGAGTTTAACGTTGCAGTTTCAATGCGAGAGCGGGTTATTTTAAGGTTGCCATAATCGYGAAAAGCCGCTCTTTCAAATGACGACTACCAAAAGCACAAGGTCGGGCACGAAATTCTTAGGTCATTGGTTCAGCTCTGCCGTTAGTCGTTTGCCGTTAACGTGATTCTAAAACTCTGTGCTGACACCATCACGTCTCGCGCGCGCGCTCAATTTAAAGAAAAAAAAA